AATGGGCAATGTCTTGTTGATGCGAGTTTCGACGTTATGTGGAACATGCAGCAATCCTGCATAATTTGTAGGTAGTAGATTGTTGTGTATTTTGTACATTTTTGTCCACGTGCTTTCATGCGGTGGTTTAGGTTTAGTACTTGCAGCAGTGCTTCTACCCGGTACCTATACGTGTAGCAGAATTTCATGCCTTTATCGAGTAGACGTGTATTGGAAACTGGTCAGGCTGGGTGCTATGAGGAAGGTGGTCTATGTACTGTCTGTTGAACAGGAAATAGTTCAATACCGTGTTCCATGAAATTTGTTCCGCCACCTTGCCTGAATCGCTTGCTCCGTCCATCGTTTTGCATTGAACAGTTGAGCCAGGGTATGCAGGTGTTTGCAAAGTTAGAGTTGCTGCGTGCAGGTACACTCAAGATTACGAAATATTCCTATAGCTGAAGCTTCTGCATCAGGGAAAGATGACTCCAATTATCCTATGAAGGAATTTCATTTGCATACGCCCAGTCGTTATAACATTCTTAACCGTAACAGCGACGTATCATTCATCATTGAAATGTACATTTCTCGAAGGAATATCATGAAAACGGGAAGCGTCACCCTTCATCTCCACGGCTACGGCTTTCTCAGAGTTGCAAAGCGAAGGTCGAGGCTACATTTTAGAATTGTTTGGTCAGCACATGCTATTTATAGTTCCTTTCCCACCACTCATTTCATTTCTCCTTGTAACCATTTACTGGTTGAAAGTGGTAGGGTATGTGATCATTGTTTGACGAGCTGCCTTATGACGTCGTTCTTGCAGAGGGTGATTTGGGTGTTATCACAGTGCGTAACGCACTGCATGCGTTAGTTCAGAGTTTATGAATGTCCAGTGTGTTGTGAATTTCCGCAGCCTTCAGCTCTGACATCTGGTCGTTAGTGATTGCAACCAACCTGAGTATACGAAGGCTGCCCACACTCCTCCCCCTCACGTCTGAGAGGTATGAATCAGAATTTGGCATTATCATGATGAATAACAAGACCGACATCCCTAAATCTGAACAAGTTGATGATCGACGAGAACATGAAACATCAGTCGAGCGATAATACTAACTTGCCACTGGCAGTTTATTTGGATGATCAGTTTCAAGCATGAGGATAAGTTCAACGATGAAAGGTCTTACCATTTGCCACACTCTTGTTCTGCGAGCTTCACTTGCCTTGCAGCTCCTGTGCAGCAGCTCCCTGATGCTCTGCTCTCGTTCAAAGTCCAAAATCTTGCCGCTCGTGGGTTTGTACCAGTAGGTGAGAGACAAGACGTAAAAAATGTACAACAAGCAAACAAGCAGCGAAAGTGCAAAAAGTTTCCGCTGTTTCAGCAACATCGCAACACGTCGTTCGACGACTACTAACAGTTGCGGTTCGATGTTTCCATCGCCGCCATGCAAATTCGTTTAATAAGAAGATACGCCGATACAGTCGCTCCAAAGCAGACATCTTCACCAACATGGAGGAAGAGAGGCGAAATGCCAGAGGGCAGGGTTGCACAGTCTTATCTACTTCAAGAAGCACGGCTGTGAGCGGACCGGTATTTTTGTGCATGGAAATTATTGAAAGTTGACAGACCAGTGACTGGATGGTAGACAGTTCGATTATCATAAGATGAGACGAAGATTTGTCAAAAATTCCTTAAGCTGTTGGCCCAGTCCGAATGACGGACCAACGAGTTCCAAGCGATATAAGTGCAATACTGTCTTACGGACAAGCACGCGGCCATGCGATCGCCTTCGAACGCTGGTGGAACCAACGGATACTGGCCCTGTTTTAATTTCTTCGCGACGGCATTCAAGAAGGTAAACTTGTTGAACTCGCATAACATATGCCACGTGTGGATATGAGGTTGTTGTAAGGCGTTGATCGATCCACACGACGGAATGTCGAACATTCGGCTCCCAATGTAGCTGTTATTTATGTTGTCGACCAGGTGATTCAACGCCAGTTCCTGGCCGTACATTGTGGACACTGGTCGCCACCATTCCGTCCATTTTCCTTTTGGAGAGTGGTTCATGAATGTGGCTATTTCTGGAAACCGTTTCGCGTCGAATTCCGTTTCGTAGATCCTTTTGCTCAAGTATAAACTGAGGTTGCTGACCTGCAACAGAAGTGATGCATCACCAAACCAAGTAGAACCCAAGTTATGAACCCTCTGGTGCCTCAAATTGTACCTGTGTGCCATCTCTACAAGCCGTTTTTGATTAAATTTATCTGAATATCCTCCCATGCCGGTGACTATCTTAAAACGTGGTGTCCATTTCAGCAGAGCCGGAGTCAGAAACACGTCCATATCTGTTCTCATCAAATACGTGTAATACTTTGGTAAAGAAAGAATGTCTTTGTGGGACAAAAAGCAGTAGCTGTTCAAGTATGGGTACTGGGCTTTGAACGTAGCGATCGGGAAGTAGTAACAAGTTGGTGGTCTTCCTGACGAATTTCCATCAAATTCTATGCACTGTTTCGGCAAGAAAGAGCAAGACTTTCCCTCACAGAATATTAACAGGTCGATTGGATTGATCGTATTTTGGCTGGTGCCCAGCAACGCAGATTCGTACGCATGTTCAACAGTGAAGTACCAGGAGGCGAAGAGAAAAGATCCGAATTGAGTCAAATAATATATGCTTTGCGGTAGGCATGCTATTGTGCCTATTCTCTTTCTGTTGTATTCATACCGTCTGGACATAGCCTAAAATTAACACATGTAATTGATTTCTGCGAAACGTGCGTAAACAGGCTGCTGAAATCTTAATGTAGCAGATTGTTTCATAAAACAAAGTGCAAAGAGACATGTATACCTTAGACGCTACCTGGCTATGAAGGCCTAATAGGAACCTTGAAACGGTATGTAACGAGGCTCTGATAATCATGGCGGAGAGAAATTTCATCAAGGTAGGTTTTATAGAAGAAAGACTTTATGGTTAAAAACCCTGATGGAAGAATTTGCAGTCATGTACTTGCAAATTAACGAAGAATGCATTACTAGCATTATTTCATTATGCGGTCTACCTCTGAGTAGGAAATGTCGACGCGTGAGTTACACCGATATCATACACTGACAATTCTTAATGACTAATTTCAAGAAACGAATGGTAAATAATATGTAGTAAATTTTAAATAATGATATAATCTAACCCTTGGTGTACAGCCTCTGATTCTGCAGACTGAGAAGTCACAGCTGCGATGGTATGGCCATGTGTTTCGAATGCCTCCAGAAAGGAAGGCTAAACAGCAGTTTCTTGCAAATCCTACCGTCAGAAGGCCCAGGGGACAGCTAAGATTAACCTGGTGCAAATGTATGGAAAGAGTCTGTTACAGACTCCATTTGTCTTTGCCGAAGCTCAAGCCCTGGCACAGGATCGGGAACGTTTTGGTTCTCTGTCTGAAGCGTCTGCCTCCGCGACCCGAAGGGAAAAGCGGCGATGGAAGACGAAGACGAGGATGAAGATTGTTATAATCCTGCAGCAGTATTCAGCATACACAAGTAGTGAGAAATCGTATTCCTGCATTATCGTGTTTTCCCGGTTTAGGGCCTGTTTAATTTTCGTTACTTCTGTTTCATAGTCTCCGCAAGGAAAACTATCTTAATCTTCTGGTTCCGTCAAGATGCTTTACCCATCATAGCGCAGCGACGGTCCTGTTCGTGGAATATCACAGTTTTGTTCATCTT